GCATGTGGGATCTTAGTTGCCCAGCAAGGGATTGAACCCATGTCTCCTACCATCAAAGCTCCAAGTCTTGACCACTGTATCACCAGGAAAGCCCTAAGAAAGAGGCTTTAAACTAAAGATCCTACCAAACCCGATACCAGCCAACGCTTGCCCAGGAAGATCCCGTGGGCTTAAACAGCTCAGCTGGGGATCCTTGGACAGAGTTCCTGCTTTGACTTGGAGTCACAAGAGGTGTCTTCCAGATGTAGGGCAGCTCACTAGCCAAGCAAGTCAAACAATCCAGTAAGGCCTCAGCTGTGCTGAAATACGCTTAAGAGGCTACCAGGAATTCTGTGGTAGGACATCAGAATGAGTGCCAGCCCCTGTTGCCGTGAACCAAGAGTGCTGATCAAGCTCCGTAGCCCAGCACTGCAGGAATCTCTGACTCGTCCTCTGAGCTTCAGTTTTCTCAGTCACTTTTAAAAAGTGGAACTGCTGTTACCTTTTTCCCAAAACCATAAACACAGAGAACATGGATTCTTATTTGCAACAATGTGCCTTCAATACTTACAGCCCAAACATCTGAGTGGCTCTCAAGGGACCCCTTGGTAACTGTAGCAGTCAGACCCTTAACTGTAACAGGAAAGAAGTTCTGCTGAATCAAAGCCAAGAAAAGCATTAAAGATGCTTCTAGCAAAGGTGAGATAATAAAAGTTCTACAAATCTAAAAAGGCTGCTGCTGCTGCTGCTGCCGCTAAGTCACTTCAGTCGTGTCCGACTCTGTGCGACCTCATAGACAGCAGCCCACCAGGTTCCCCCATCCCTGGGATTTTCCAGGCAAGAATACTGGAGTGGGTTGCCATTTCCTTCTCCAATGCATGAAAGTGAAAAATGAAAGTGAAGTTGCTAAACTAAATCAAAGGGCTCTATCATTTACAAAAAAAAAAAAAACTTTTCAAGTCTAAAACGAATTGTTAAATCTCTTTTAAGCTCAAGTTAACATATATTTGAACACCCACGTACAATATAGTACACTACCAAAGATATCCAGATTGGTAAACTGCATCACAGAGCAAGACTACCAGAAGTGCTGTCAAAGAGAAGGCTTCCATTAAAGTGACAAAGGAAACAGCTCACTGAGAAAGGAGCACAGACGGACACAGTGGCACAGGCAGAACTTTGGCTGCATTTGTTTATATAGAATGCATTTCAGGCTGCAGGCAGGGCACAAGCAATGGCACTTAAGCTGGAATGGCCAGGAGTCCAGTTTAGGGCACTGGGTTCATGGTGGAAGGACAGCACTGTAATCTGAGGCCAAATTATGACAGCTTGGACCTTCAGAAGGTATAGTCAGCTGCACAAACTAATTCCAGTAACATTATTCTGATTTGACTAATAGAAAAGTTGATCACCATTAAGTTACTGTGTTGTGCTTAGTCACTCAGTCGTGTCCAACTCTTTGCGACCCCATGGATTACAGTCCACCATGCTCCTCTGTCCACAGGATTCTCCAGGCAAGAATACCGGAGTGGGTTGCCATGCCCTCCTCCAGGGGGTCTTCCCAACTCAGGGATCGAACCCAGGTCTCCAGCATTGCAGGCAGATACTTTACCATCTGAGTCACTTACAGGAGAGTCAAAAAGCTATCAGAAAGTAAATTCAGCTATTTGTTAATTTACTCTAATTCATCAGTTATTTCCCAATCATAATTAATAAAATAAGCAAACCTTAGAAATAAAGAATGGGTATTTTTAAATTGTAGAAAGAAAGTGACCCCCTTTTTAACAATATAATTTAGACATGAATTTTGACTCATTTTAAAAAATGATAATGCATTACTAAGAAAGAGAAGTTGTATCCCTGAGCTGGCCCAACAGCTTCCTCAATTATAGGAAGAAACCCTACTTACCAACAGAAACTATGAACCAGGAAATGCTCAGTGATGTTCCCATACTTGTAAGTAAACAGTTAAAGCTGGGAAAACAACACATTGTAAACTCCCTACAAAGATTTGTGAAGTTGAAATGTAAATTTTAAAGTAATTTTGAAGCAACTTTCTACTAAGAAAACCAAGGTTCACAAAGAAAGTTTACACCTGCTCACTGCTGAAAAGGTGAATTAAAATACAGTAAAGGGCTGTTTTGGGGCTTCCCTCATAGCTCCATTGGTAAAGAATCTGCCTGCAATGCAAGAGACCAGGGTTCAATTCCTGGGTCCGGAAGATCTGCTGGAGAAGGAAATGGCAACCCACTCCAGTGTTCTTACCTGGAAAATTCCATGGACAGAGAAGCCTGGTGGTCTACAGTCCATGGGGTCTCAAGAGTTGGACACGACTTAGCGACTAAACCACCACAATCACTATCAAGGGGCTATTTTACCCCAAGCAGAAGCACTGTCTCATCTTTTTTAAAAAATGCCTTGTATGAGTTTATGGACAGTAAGTTCATGATGTTGAAATATTATATTTCTCTATATACCAAAACCCCTTGTGATGGAATGTCCATGGAATTTACGTACAGCAGAAAAAACATTAGGCTGAAAATTAGTACGATGAGAATCTGATGCCAGTTCTGTCTCAAAAAGCACTGAATAGGCTTCCCCAGTCTCACCTTTAAACTAAGAGGATTGAATCATGATCTCTAGAGTGCTATTTCATAAAATATTAATTTCAGAGTAGAGAGTTGTTGTAATACATTCAGAGACGTATCAAGCTTCATATCACGGATCAAGCTTCAATGGCAGACTAACTGGAGTGTTCAAACCTGGGCTCCCTCAGTACCAGGTGGTAGCCTTTTGCAGAAGTGTCCTCTTCTATCAAGAAAGGATAACATTTACCTTTGCAACAGGAAAGAAGAATCAGAAAGTATATAATGCATCTGGTATACTGTAGGCACGAAATAAAGGCAGACATTAAGTCTCTGGCCAGTAAGATAAGTTCTAATGGAGAAGAGGAATCCACTTGACAAAGCAGTTTCCTAGAACTCAGCCTGGAGAAGAGCAGGGATTGAATGCCTGGCACATAAATACTGGAGACTGAATGCCTGGCACATAAATACCGGAGAGGACTCGCAGTTGGGAGTAAGAAGGATCAAAGCAGGAAGCAGAAGATAAGTAAAGGCTCAGAGCACTGCACAAAGTAACAATTAACAGGAAAGAAACAGTGTGGGACACAGTGCTTGAGGGAAGAAGACATTTTTTCCATTAAGAAAGAGGACCACTGGTGAAAAAACATATAGTGATTTACTACAATGATTTCATAACCAATATAAAGCCGAAAGCCAGGTTCGCATTATATGAATGTCACTAAGAAAAATGAAGAGAGCTTTGACAATTCTTTGCCTGGAATTCCCACACGGGACTGAGATGATCGCAATCCTGCCCACCTCTGAGCGCCACTTCCCTCACTTCTGTCCTCCCACCTCATTCTCCCCTAAGTATACCCCACTCCAGCCACACAGCTTCTCTTCTATCCCTGGAATATTTCAAGCTTCTTTTTCCTTTAGCTCCTTTGCACTGTCAGTGCTGCTTGGAAACTTCCAGCAGATCTTCCCATGGCTGACTCATTCTAAACATTCAGATCTCCAAACTTCCTCAAGGAAACCTTTCCTGACCACCCATATCTAAATTTCCTCCTACATCCCAGTTGTGCTCCAGCCCCTGGTAATTTCTTTTCTAGCATTTATCATTATCTAAAATTGTCATTTTTGTTTATATATTTATAGTATCTCCATCAAAATGGAAAGTCTTGAGAGCAAGACTATTATTTAAAGGTTTCCACATTCAATCCTCAACATCTAATACAAAGCATAAGATGAGGCAGAGATGAGGAGATCATGAGATAAATTTGTCCAAAGACTAAAGTCAAATGATAATAACCATCCTTCTGTGAACCTTAGTAAGGAAAAGTACCCTGAAGCGGTTTTAACTTCATTTCTTCAATGCAGTTTTATGCAATAATGCACTCTTAAAGGTCAATGTCTGAGACAGAAAGATTTAAAGAGAATGAATTCTTCATGACAATACAAAAACATTATATATGGATACATATATTATAAAGTACACATTTTTACTTTATGAGCATGAATTATGCCCCACCTTATTAGAACCCATAAATAAAGCATCTTAGGTATCCTAAGATGTTTTGTTTCATGAGGATGTATGGGTAGATGGAATATATATATGTGAATTACCTTTCAGAACTCTTCTCCACAAAGAATTCTGAGATAAACTAATTCCAGTATTAGTATGGAGAGGTTTGACCTGTTATTTTATTACCTAGCTAAGCTTATCCAAACTACTACTAAGTCAAGTGATGAATTCAGTAATTCCGTCTGTGAAATAGAAGACAAATGACATGAAGATCAATTGGCACTTTAAGAGAATAAGAAAAGTTCCACAATCTTAACTCATCTTTGAACTAAAGGAAAGAAAAAAAAGATCCCTCTCTAATCCTAAACCAAAAAATAAGCATGCTACTGAGATTTCAAAATATGGCCAGATACCTATGAGTGAGCAAAGCAGTGAACTGAAACCAGAGCCAGAACATTCGAGATTTGTGCTTTAATTTTTAAATTTTGTTTGGAACACAGCTTTCCTTGATGGGGGGAAAAAAAAAAAAGAGGTCAGTAACCGACCTTGTTCCTATAGCCCACGCATCAGCCTAGTCACCATTCTTGGTCACTATGGAGGGCCCAAGGGGCCAGCAGAGGGATTGATTTCACCGAGGGCTGCGCAGGATGAAGGAATGGAGACCTCTCTACTAGCATCCATCCCCTGAATGCCCACCCAAACCTTGGATGAAAAGGGGCTCCGCAATCTGCAACTTCACTTCTGTACCCATTATAAACAAGCCCGCCAAGCCCCTCCTCCTCTCCAGAGGACGGCGAGGGCCGTACAAACAAGCCGGGATGCTCGGTTCTGGCCTCCGTTCGCGGGTCTCCAGTGAGCCCCGGGCAAATCATCTGATCCCGATGACTCAGTTTTCCAATCTGTCAAATAGGGTGACCAGAAACCCAGCCTACCTCATCGGGTGGTTCCGGGCCGGCCGCCCCAGGCTGGCCGGGAGACCGCGGCTCTGTGGCTGCGCCCGCGGCAGTCTCTGCCGGCGGAGGGGCGGGGCTCGGCGGGGCGGGACCAGAAATCTAGTCCTGCTGAAGTCGCGTAGCCCACCGCCCGCGTTCTGTCGCCCCAGGACCTCCTAGAGTACCCGGCCTATGACGTCAACACGCTGACGTCGACGCACAGAGGTCGCATCTCGCCCCGGGGACCAAAGACCCGGTAAGGGCCAGAGAACCCCTATAGCAGAGCGGCGATTGGTGAGTGACTGTGTCAATCGTATACTGTCCAGTAAGCGTCGCGGGAAGGCGCGAGGGGCGGTCCGGCCGGCCCTGAGGCGAGAGTAGGAATAGGAAACTCCGGCTGACTGAATTTTCGCGAATCCGGTACCGCAGGGTTTTATGATGCGTCCCTTCGCTCTGTTGATAGATTCTTTTCTTCTGGCTTCCCCCAGTCTCTTGGTGACAATTTAGGGTCCAACTCTGGAAAATAATCATGGGACTGGATTTCAGGGCCCTTGGGCTCTCCAAAAGTGAAAAAGTAGGACATTAAATTTCCCTGTTCAAGAGTTACCTCAGCTTTGAATTCTCGGCCCCGGCCCCAGCCCCAGCCCCACCCCAATTTAGGATACTCTCTCTGTGCTCCTAGCGCCTAACACTTCAGTTTTAATGTGGTGGTGGTGGTGGTGGTTTAGTTGCTAAGTCGTGTCCGACTTGTGACCCTGTGGACTGTAGCCCGCCAGCCTCCTCTGTCCGTAGGATTTTCCAGGCAAGAATGGTGGAGTGGGTTGCCATTTCGTTTTCCAGGGGATCTTCCCAATCAGTTTTAATAGTAGTCATATTTTTTTATATTTGTGTAGGTTTTCGCTCGAAATTGACCTCCTTTATTTGACTTCAGATTATATTTTAATGAAACTACTTTTCCTGTAGATAACTACAGTTAGACGGTTCAAATATATGAAGCACTAGAGAGTTACATAGAGGGAATTCTGCTTCCAGGTTCTCAGGTACTCGGTTCGCCTATTGAAGTCAATAACTTGAGTGTTGCTGATTTTTTGGGTATCCTTCCAAAGACATTATAAGTGCTATTATTCATGTTAAATTACATATAATCATAAATCTAAACATCACACATTAGCTAATTGTTTTCAGGGAGTAATTAAAAACCAGTCACTATATGGTGACTTCTGGGCTTCCGTTGTGGCTTAGCTGGTACAGAATCCGCCTGCAATGTTGGAGACCTGGGTAGGAGACCAGGGTTCGATCCCTGGGTTGGGAAGATCCCCTGGGGAAGGGAACGGATATGCACTCCGGTATTCTGGTCTGAAGAATTTAATGGTCTGTATAGTCCATGTTGTCGAAAAGAGTGGGACACGGCTGAGTGACTTTCACATATGGTGACTTCTAATCCTCTGCATTTACATACCTGTAGATGTTGGTTTCCCCCCCCAATCAACATTATATCCTTGAGATCTTTCCATATATATATATAAATTTCCCTCTTTCTTTTAAAATACTACATGGTAGTTCTCAGAACCAATAGATAGATTTAATTTATGATTCCTTTTCCCTCTGACATATTTGTTTCTTTTTTGGTGTTTTAATTAGGAATGTTGCTACCTTCAACGTGTGTTTGTGCCTTTTTGCATGTATATCCAAGTGTTCTCTAGGGAAAGATACTAACATGTGGAAGTGCTAGATGGACAACATCTTAAATCTCAGTAGTAGATTCCTTCCGTTTACTCCTTAAGTAGCTGCTACAACTGACATTTGTACCCTAAATATGTGAGTACCCCTTGCCCTACGCCTTCACCAAAAATTAATGAAATACAATTTAAAAAATTTTCTGAATGGATGTGTGTGAATAATTGTTAAGAGATGACATATGTACAAAAGTGCAATAATCCCTAGTGTATATCTTGGTAACAAAATGAATGAACTTATGTTACCACCTCCTGCATCAAGATTTTTAGATGGTTACCATAAATATAAAAATACTCCATCTGAGTCATCACAACCCACACAAAAATTGCCACTATTTTGAATTTTATAACCAGAATTAGTTTTGCCTGCTTTTGAATGGTTATAAATGACCACACATAGTATATTCTCTTGTGTGGCTCTTTTCACTCAATAAAAATTTGTAAGATTGATACATGTTAAAGAATATAATAGTAGTTTATTCCTTTTTATGTAATTCCAAAATTTATTTGTCTAGTCTAATATTGCTTAACATTGAGTTGTTTAAAGTTTGGAGTGAGTAAAAATTATGCTGCTATGAATATTTTTGTACCTGTTGATGCACAGTTATCCATTTGATTTTGATATATACCTAGTATAATATTACCAGAAAATGTATGTATCTTCAGTACTAGTAGCCACAGGATGTACATATATTCAGTATTATTCTGTATTAGTAGATACTGCCAAATAGATTTCTGGTCTTGGCAATTTATAGTCCACTAGCAGTGAGTGAAAATTCCAGTTTCTTCATTAATTTACCACCGCTTGAAATTCTCAGTTTTGTGTTCATCTTCTTTTATTTTTTTAAACTTTACTGAGACAATATACAAAAGTTGCAAGTATTTAATGTATACATTTTAATGATTCTGGACCCTATGATAACATCACCACAAACAAGTTAATAAACATATCCATTGACAGACCTCTGATTTGAAAAGATCCATGTGCTCATATGTTTGTAGCAGCTCTATTTACAATAGCCACAATATGAAAATTACCCAGAAGTCCATTGACAGATGAAGGACAAAGATATGGTACATATATACAATGGAATACTACTTATCCATAAAAAGGAAGAAATAATGCCATTTGCAGCAACTTAGATGGACCTAGAGATTATCATACTAAGTGAAGTAAGTCAAAGAGAAAGACAAAATAGCATATGATACCACTTATATGTGGAATCTAAAATATGATAGAAATCAACTTATCTATGAAACAAATTACTCACAGACATAGAGAACAGATTTGTGGTTGCTGGGGCACAAGGGAGGGGGGATGGATGGATTGGGAGTCTGGGATTAGCAGATGGAGACTATTATATATGGAATGGATAAACATCAAGGCCCTACTGTATAGCACAGGGAACTATATTCAATTTCCTAGATAAACCATAATAGAAAAGAATATTAAACGGAATTTATATATATAACTAAATCACTTTCTGTATACCAGAAACCAACACAATATTGTAAATCAATTATACTTAAATAAAATAAAATTTTAAAAAATACTCATCACCACTAAAAGATTTCTTGTGTCCCCTTGCACTTTTTTTTAATGGTAAGAACATATAGCAAGAGATCTACTGTCTTTAAGTGAACAACCTATGTCAACTATGTGCCCTATGTTGTACAGCCAGTCTCTAGAGCTTATTAATATTATATATAACTGTAACTTTATAACCACTGAAAAATCCCCAGTTTTCTCCTCCCCCGTCTTCTGGCAACCACCATTCTGTTGTTGGCATCTGTGAGTATACGAAATACTTCCATTTAAGTGGAATCGTGCAATATTTGTAATTCTATGACTGACTTATTTCCAGACATACTATTTTCCATGGCAACGCTGCATCTCCAGTCTTCCCTCTGAACTTTGTGTGAGCCGCGAGCTAAGCTGCACTTTGGTGTCTACTTTTCAGATGGTTGGTGCCATAAGAGGAACACGTGCATGCAGGCAGGAAATGCTGCTACAACTGTAGATTGGCCTCTCCCCTCCCCCAAGTACAGTCTAAACTGGCCCTCACCTCACACACCTCCAGGCCATGTACTTGAGCCCCAAAACTTCTCTGCCCCTTCCAAGTTTGGGTTCTGGGACCCCACAACTGCTGAAATAGCCCATGAGAAGTTTTAGGTCTGAACTTTATATTCCAGAAATCTCTGAGAATTAATTGCAAAAAACAGATCCTATAAAGAAAAAGTGATGATTGAACCAAATGAAGCAATGTCAGAGTAAGAAGGTGTCTCTGGTTGTGCAGCTGATTTATATAACATGCCTTTTAAGCAATTAGAACTAGATGATGCAATTGTTTGCCACCCGATTGAATTTGAAAGGCAAGAAATACATGGAGTAGCACTTTAGCTTTTGCTTCAGTCAAAAAAAAAAAAAAAAAGCATTTGTTACTTAGATAAAAGAGCATTTAAAATGAAAAATGAATTTTTTTATTAAAATGTAGAGATATAGATGGACTTCCTGGTGGCTCAGTGGTAAAGAATCCACCTGCAATACAGGAAGCACAGAAGATGTGAGTTCGGTCCTAGGATCAGGAAGATCCCCTGGAGGAGGGGACGGCAACCCACTCCAGTATTCTTTCCTGGAGAATCCCAAGGACAGAGGAGCCTGACAGTCTATAGTCCATGGGGTCGCAAAAAGTCGGACATGGCTGAAGCAATTTAGCATGCACAAAAGTATACATAATATTTACTTCTGGGTCCATTCATGGTATCCCAAGTGGTAGGATTTCCTTTTTTTAAAATTGCTGAATAACATTCCATTCTGTGCATATTCCACATTTTCTTTATCCATTCATCTGTTGTTGGAAGTGTGGGTTGTTTCCAGATCTTGACTGTTGTAAATTATGCTACAATAAACATGGTAAATGGGCCTCCCCCATGGGTCAGAGGGTAAAGAATCTGCCTGCAATGAGGGGACACAGGTTCGATCCCTGGGTCAGGAAGATCCCCTGGAGGAGGGCATGGCAACCCACTCCAGTATTCTTGCCTGGGGAACCCCATTGAGAGAGGAACCTGGCAGGCTACTCTTCATGGGGTTGCAAAAAGTCAGGTACTACTGAAGCAACTGAGAATGCATGCAAACATGGTAATGAAGATATATTTTTAAGATCCTGATTTCACTTCTTTTGAATATATATCCAGGAGTAGAATTACTGGATCAGATGGTAAAAGTTATAGAAAATATAATGGATCAGATGGTAAAAGTTATAGAAAATATAAACAGACTAATAACAAATTAGGAAATTGATTTAGCAGTCAAAAATCTTCAAACAAGAAAAGCCAGG